CTCTCTCTCTCTCTCTCTCTCTCTCGTCGAACCGAACTCTCTCTCTCTCTCTTGCAACGGAGTCCAATCGAAACAGCAAAGCGATCGTGGGAAACAACACGTATCGTCGAACCGAGTCGCATCGAACCGAGAACCGAGCGGGAAACAGCACGCATCGTCGAACCGAGTCGCGTCGAAACAGCAAAGTGATCAAAACATCCAGCACGTAAATACAAAAAGCAGGACCCGCGACAACCGTCAGGATCGCCGACTGGACTTACTTTGGACGGCCCGATAGAAGTTTCGGGAATCGCCTGGCACGGATCCTGAAAACTCTATCGGGCTGCCCAATGCAAGCTCGCTCGCGGCCTGAAAGACACACGCGGTATCTGTTGGGCCCGCCTGCCGGTCCCGCCACGTTTCCCAACAGTGGTGAGCGGCCTCTCGCGGGAGCGTTACGCGAGGACCGCTATTTGCTTAAAGAGTGTTAAGGATAAACCCTACCCTCGTCAAGCTACTTTGGCAGACATTACTGTCAGTAGGTATTGGTAACATTTCTGAAAGGCAGTGGCAGATATGTCCAGATTTGTTCATAACTTCATCTATTATCAGATGTGTCGTCCAGCGAATACAAAACAACTCTCAAGTGATACGGATGCAGCCAGCAAGTGCTGGCCTTGGTTTATTCACTGCCATGATGGACCAGAAGCAGCCAGCATCTGCTGAATGCTAACCCCTGTGCCTCCCTCCATAAGTGTGAATTGGAAGCCCACACCACCGTAGACAGCCCTCAACGTTTGTGCTATTTGTTTTACTTGGCAAGAAACCCTCTTACCACCAGTGAACAACCCATGAACATTCTTCAACCTTGGGGAGGACTGCACGAATTGCCTCACAACAGACTCCGTCCACTCCATCTCTTGCTGGACGCTGGGCTTTCCAAATACCTTGCCATAATCACCATATTTTTCGCTGTAAAAATCGGGCTGAACTGCCTTGAAGTCCCCATTTACCAAGCGTTTAAAGTCGCCCTTACCATAGATCTGCTTTTGAAATGTCAGATTCTGCAGGTCTGGACACAAGAATAAACAAGATGACCAATCCTTAAAACTACAGTTCTCTGACTCCTTTCTCCGACTCCTTTCCGTTGTTGAAGGCGAGGCACGGATCTGTAGATTCTGTACACATGGCTGACGATATGATTTTCCAAACTCATCACCCATTTTTCTTGCACCCCCCTCCAGCATCATCATCAAGGGTGAGCTGAGTATAAGGGACTTCAGATTAGGAAATCCAAGACCCGTACACCCATCCTGTTCCGCTCTTACGATCGCCTCGCCGCTGAGTCTTCGACGGTGAGTTTCTGTCTCGGATTTGGCTATGTTGAGACAACAGTTCGACTCCGATGGTGGAGGGCCAGCAACATCAGGACTGACATTGGAGCCATCACTGCCATGGGCTACAGAACTGCGCCCGAGCAACATCGATTCCCTAGCGACATCAGGAGTATCATCAGAGCCCTCACTGCCATGGACTGTAGAATTGTGCCCAAGCAACATTGATTCCCTCGCAACATCAGGAGTGACATCAGAGTCACCACTGTCATGGGCTGCAGGATTGTGTGTCGAACGATCAGCAAAGCGTAATGACGGTACTAGGAAATCAATGTCCAGGCACAAAGATTCCACTGTATAAAGACCGGATGTCAGTAGACTGCATAACCAGTCTTCTGAACAAGCAGGCATATGTAAATCCAATTTGACAATATTTTGAGATCTCCATTTCATTAAAATTCTAGGATGAACCAGCTTGGATTCCCAGCTGGATACATGATCAGGTGTGAAAGGTGAACAGACAAAAGAATCGGAGAGCGACTGGCACCATTCAAGCAGAGCAGGATGCAAATCTGTGAGCATCTTAAACTCGACAACTGGAGTGCAGCCAGGCTTCGCTCGTGCGATGGCGAAGTCCGATACCTTATCCAGCACAAGATGAGAAAGGTTCCCACACTCAATATGGATAGACGGCAATCGTTGGGCGCAGCACAGATCTGTGTAGCAGTTGGCAGTTGTCGATTCCATGCGGACAATCTCAAGGCGCTCCAAGGTCGGGAAACGAAAAGATAGGGATGCAGTAGAACTTGTAACAGTGCAAGATGGAAACTTCAGCACCCTTAGGTTCGGAAACAGAGAGAAGCAGATATCCAATTCAGTCTGAGAACGGAACAACTCCATGCCAGACAAGGTCAGCTCTTCTAAAGGATGATCTTTCGCCGGAATCATCCGACGCAACCATTGCCATTCCACATTGGCCTCCCCACATGAAGAGCAATAAAAGAATTCAAGGTGCCACAGTTGGCTCAAGGAGCTAAGGATCTTAAGCAGGATTACTTCTGGACTATCGTGCCAAGACCAGATATGCAGACTTTTTAGGTGTGGGAAAAGCAAAGGTAAGACATCCAATTGTGGCAGATGGGAGCAGAATTCAATCTCTGTCAATGCGAGGTGTTCCAACGGGAGAGGGATGAACGTACCCAACTTTAGTGCAGGTAGTAGTTCAAGCCAATTGGCGTAGGCTGATTCCGTTGTAGCCCACAAGTCTAGAGAGTGAAGGTTCTCGCATGAGCAGAAGATATGGTTCAGGACTCGTTGAAGGCTATCTCCGGGAAACTCTGCACTGATGGAGAGATGACGCAGAGACGGATACGGATGCCTCAACCACCTCTGAAGAGTGCTATCTGTACTGTCTACCCAGCCTGAAGCATCGATGGTCAACGTGACCAGGTTCTGAAATTGCAATAAGCCTTTTGTGATATCGTGGAGTGTACGACCGTGAGAGCCACACCTCTTATCGACATCGCACGGGGGAATACTCAAAAATGAAACCTGAATGCCACAGACAAGACAAGGAATCAGCATGACAAGCAGTGACAGATTCTGCAACAGCAAGTTAAAACCGGATGACTGCAAGATAAAAAAAAAAAAAAGTGGAACGACTCCTAAGCTGGCTGACCATACAGCAACCAGAAATTGAAATTATTGAATAGCAAAATTGGGGAGAACTGATTGCCATCATGCCATGTCCAAATAATGTTTCATACCACAAAAAAAAGGAAGTCCAGCAACCAACTCTTTGAGAGCTGAAGATAGGAATTGTTGTTGCCAGCCTCCATAATGGGCAAGGAAAAGAGTTGATAATTCCTCCTTTTGTTTTTGCTTTGGTTTGTTTGTTTGTTTGCTTGATGGTTTGTTTGTTTGTTTGTTTGTTTGTTTGTTTGTTTGTTTGTTACTCGGGGCTTTCTTCATCAAGAGCCAAATTGAAAGGATTCACGCTGCAGACACCCCAGTCCCCGTCCTAGAGTCCCGAAGTGTCCCAGTCCCAGGCTACCCCAGTAGGATAGGCCGTAGGGGCTACCCCAGTAGGATAGGCCGTAGGGTCTGTAGTCCAAAGCATTGTAGGTTGGAAGGTGTCGGTACCGAAAAGTCTTATAGGTCAGTAGAAGTATGTCCGGTACCCGACAAGAAAAGTCCCGAAGAGTCCAGTCCAGGCCGACAGTTCCAAGTCCAATTTGCAGCATGTCCCAGGAAAGTCCGGAAGGTACCGGACCGACAAATTGTTTGCAGCAGACAGGCCACAGCCGACCGGTGCCAGTCTGAAGCAGGCCAAGCCAAGCCAAGCGAAGGGAGCCAAGACCTATATTTAGCTGCTACAGTGCAGCGGCTCATCACTTGTTTAGTTGCGAGATGTGGAAGCGCTGCTGCTGCTTGTGCGTTAAGGCAACTTGGACACTTTGCTCTTGAAGAAGAAGAGGGTGCATGGGAGACACTCCATAGCTAGGGTAGAGATAGAGCAGGAGGGCGGCGGCCATAGCCGCCAGGGTGTAAAGCTTACCTGAGGGGGTGTATCCAGGGTGACGACCTAGGCTAGAGAGAGAGAGAGGGAGAGGGAGTGAGGCAGAGCGAGCCAAGTCAGAGAGAGAAGCAAGACAACAGAGAGAGAGAGAGAGAGAAGAGAGAGATGCCATAGCCGCCACCTGATTGGGACCTGTCATGTGTGGGTGGGTGTGCGGCAGAGCCGCTGGGGACAAACATTCTTGTATATCGCAGTGTTGGGACGGCAACCGGCCGGTTGGACCGGCGCTGATGCAACCGGGCCGGATCGACCCAAGGCCTCCAACCGGAATTCCCGTTGGGCTCGAAACTGGTCCAATTTTTTTTTTTTTTTTTTTTTTAAAGCACGGTCAGACTGCACTTGCTAAGAACAGTCCGAATCCGCAAAGAAAACAGTGAACTCAAAACTTCTTTTTGGGGGGGATGGAGGGGTGTGTGTGTGTTGGGG